GAGACCAAAGGAAGGAATACATGAGCCATTAAGAGAAGAGAAATTGGACATTTTAACCACAGAAGCATTGGATGAGATCTAAGCATAATTTGAAGATATGAAAGAAGGAGCTAATAGAGGGAGATGTGAAAGTGATGGAAAGGGCAGAGATTACGGATATTAGACTCCTAAGGAGTGGGGAAGAATCAAGGACATAAGATTCGTTAAGAGGGAAGACAAAGATTTGAGAGCATATTTTTACCCAGACAGATGTGCACAGGAAGAAGGTAGGGTATGATGGTGCCTTTAAAAAAAAAAAAATTGAGGTAACATTCACATACCATAAAACTGACCATTTTAAACAATTAACATGTACAGTTCATTGGCTTTTAGTAAATGCACAGTGTTTACAACCATCAACACTAATTCCAGGACATTTTCATTATTCCAGAAAGAAATCTCATATCCATTAATCAGCCATTTCCCATTTCTTCCTCCCCTAACCCCTTGGTAGCCACTAATCTACTTTCTGTCTCTATGGATTGGCTTATTCTGGACATTTTATATAAATGAATCATACTGTATGTGGCCTTTTGTAACTGGCTTCTTTCATGTAGAATAATGTTTTCAAGATTCATCCATGTTGTAGCATGTATCTGTACCTCATTTCTTTTTATGGCTGAATAATATCTCGTTGTTTGGATAAACCACATTTTCTTTATTCATTCCTCCATTGATGGACATTTATGTTTTTTCTACCTTTGGCTATGTAATTAATTCTACTGTGAACATGCATGTACATACTTGTGCACCGTGATCAATTATAACATGTCTCTCCCAACCCGCTTTCTAAGCTCTTTCCGATAATTTTGTCTGAGTTTTAAATTTAAAAGTTTATTACAAAAATGGTATAAAAATCTATGTTAAACATTCAGAATCATTTATTCAATTGAATTTTAAGGGATTTTTCTTCTTAAAAGTAAAATTAGATTTTCATGAAAAATTACAAATTAAAAAAAATAATCCTCCCCTTAAATCATCTTGATTTCATTCCTTGACACTTGTGTCTAGAATTCTGTATAGTTCTTGAAGTAATTATGTGTCAAATGATTTTCATGGCCATGGGAATTCTATTATTGATTTAGCCATATAAAGACCCTGTTCTCCTTACCCAGAAGGTCCTTGCTCATTGAGGAGAGAGATGTTCTAGTTATATGAGGTTGAAACTTGAATACATTTTTACTGAGACACCTTGATATTGCATGATTGATATACTAATGCAATACTATTCTTCAGTTGTTATTTTAAAATTAACCTATAGAAGCTTGGTATTTAATCTACCATTATGTTTCTGATTTCTGTGGGAAGATGAATTCTGAATTCCAACTGATTTGGATATTTTTAAAACTAATTGAGGACTGTTGCTGTTGAATTATCATTTTGCTCTAGATTTGTATTATAATACCATACTGATATGCCTAAGTCTTCCCCCACGGCCCTCACCTCTTTGACACTGGTCTCCATCTTTTGTCACAATAAGCAAGCCTCCTATATCTGATGTTATTAAATGTAATTTTGACCTCTCTGTAAGTATTCAATAGGTGGGATATTTACCCCAATGAAAGTTGACCCTGTATTGTTTGGTTTGATATACCACTATTCCCCCCTGCCCACCATTCCAATTTTAGAATTGGAAACTTTGGACTTTTTCTGTACAGACTGAGGTTTTAAATAATAATGACAATAATGATAATGTGCTAGTGAATAAAAGCAATGTCAGACTTTTCATAGGCTTGGTTTGTATTGGACATACTAATTTGTTATCTGGAGAATGTTTAGTCTCTTTGAATTTAAAACTAAAATCTGAAAATAAGTTGGGTTCTTATATAAATTTGGTTTTAATTACAGAGTACCCCTGCTTGGCTCTTCCAGGTGACATTCTCTATTTTGTGTAAGCTCTTTTATTAGACCTAAACTTCCTCAAGTCATACAGATTTTTAAATGCCCTATGGTGGCTAACCCAGTAGCTTATGGATAGTAAAGACCATACCTCAATAACAGGTTGTTAAATTGTTTGGAGTAGCCACCAAGCTATAGATGTGAAATCCCAAAGTGAGATGCCAAATATCATATGCATATATTCAAAAAGAAAATATTGAGAACATATTTCATAATTGTTTCAATGGGATGGGGAGAGAGGTGCTATCTTCTTAACACAAGCCTAGAGGCCATGAGGTAGGGGTCACGGGTCACTCCCCAAATAGAGATGTATCTACTTGGATCAAGAGAACTGTAAGAGAGAGCACATGAAAGCCACTCCCCACCCCCAAGATAAATAAGTTGTTTTTAAGCATGTGCCAGGCCCGGAGAGCTCTGATAGTGCAGGTTCACAAAGTTTTCTTTTCCTGTGCCATTCCTCCTTCCTTTGCTCCTACCCTGGAAGAATTAGGAACTGACTAGCAGACTTGGAGTGCAAGGTTCTGTTAGAGAGGAAGCATAAAAATTAGATATCTGATTACATCCCCTTCGCCCCTGTAGACTTCCAGCCTAAAGAAGTCCCCTGTTGGATGAGAGACCCAGATTTTGTACTATATCATATTGGGCTTTGATTGAGACCAGGTCAGAGTGGGGAGGGAAGAGAATCATGAACTAGGGCTAACATACTATGTGTGAAATACCTTTGAGCCATCTAGGAGGAGGGATGACAGGTAAGCAGCTGTCTTTAGTTGTAATTGAAGTGAAGCCTTGCATGTGGATGAACAGAATCTGGAATGAAAGATGAGAAGACCTAGCAAAGTTGGTCGTGGCTTTGAGGAGCTCTCAAGTTCTGTCCAATTATTAGATCTTACATCAGATTGTGTATGCTTATTAAATTTGAAAAGTATAATAGCTTTAAAATATATATATATACTGTTTATATTCCCTTTGTTTTCACATGAAAGAGGTCACAAGTGGATGTTTTTCTACTTATACACGAAAATGAATAGGTAAGGATTTCAGTCTGGACTAGTCATTGTTATTATATCATTAATTTTTCAAAATTCTGTTAAAAATACAGGTGTGAAGTTTGAAAGCTTCTTTTCCCATGCAGTAGTACTTTAGGCCCTACCACTTGTGTTTGGAAAAGAAATAATTGTTATTCCTCTAACAATATAAGCATAGCTGTCTCTGATGCTTTAAAAGGAATCTGCCAAAAGTCATCTGAGCACTTTCTGTCCAACTTCAGCACCCCGACCTCAAACATTGATTCTCTGTGTGTCTTATGTTATCATTTCTAGATGGTGTCAGAAGTGATTTGGAGAGGTGTATTATATTTTACTTGAAACTGCTGGTGCTTAAATGTTTGAAGAAATCATGTTTTTAGTATGGATTAGAATTAAATATCAATAAATAAGAAAATCACATAAGGAAATTCCTAAATTAAAATGCAGAGAGATGGAAAAATGCAAATAATTATATATGGGTTTTTTTTTTTACTTCCTGATTCCAAACTTGAGTTATATTTTTTCTAGTAATTATAAAAATAAGAAAGTAAACTTCAGTAAATTTAGAGTTCAATGGCTTGAGTTAGAAATGATTTTTAATTTTTTTAAAGATAGACACAAATAATTTCAATAGCTCTAATTTGCTTTCTTTACAAGTGAGATTAAAGGCAAAGGACACAGGGATACTCAGGTTTTTGTACTGCTGTTATTCAACTGAACTCATTCTAATGTTTAGCAAAATTAAACAGTTTTTGTTTTTTCCTTCTGTACATTGTACTTTTCATGGATTACTAAAATTCATATTCGATTTAAAGTTAATAATATATGATTTGCTGTTAAAGTGAAGATAATGTGAATATTGAGTTCAACAGAATATTAAATCATAATTTTGAAAACTGTAGTTATATTTGAATGAAATATTAAATAATAAGGCCATCTAGTGGTAAAATTTTCAAGTTTTAGTGAATTTGAAAATCTGGTATCTGTTTCACTAAATATGAACTTTAGAGTTTATCAAATAACTGTACTATTAGAAGTCAAATTAAATTAAAAATTTTACTAGAAAATAGTTCAGCCTAAGGTATTTTTCCCTTATAGAAATTGAAGGCTTTCTTTGGTTATGTTCTAAAGATCCTCTTTTACAAATTGCTCATTCAAATGTATAATATTTTTCTTGATTGTACTAATCAGAGCCACAAACAATAGCTGTAAAGAATAAGCATTGGGAACAAAGTAGAGACTTAATAATAAAATGGAATAGTAAAGTTTATATGCTTAAAACTTTTCCAGTCTCTTCAGCAACATCCAGGGCCAGGAAATGAATAAGACTCAGGTCCTACTCATAAGAAAAGCACATGATTGTTTCTGTATTTACAACTTTTCAAAAGTGTTGACTGTTGACAACCTACTTTTTGAAAAAGTTGATCTGTGTGTGTAGGCCCAGGAATCTGTATTTCAAAGGTCTTTAAATGATTGTTAGGCAAATAAAGTTTGAGAATTATGCTAGATCATACAATAAAATCTGTTATTTGGCACCTTAGAAAATTATATGTATAAATTTAACTCATCTACATAAACGTTAACATTTATTTGATAGAGAAGGAACAGATAAAATGAGCCATGTGTTTATAGTTTTTCAATATTCTTCTCAAAAATAACAGAGCAAAGAAACAAACTGAAAAGGTACTCTTTTCTAACTCTTTGCCTTATTGTAGTGTTTAACAACATTATTAAATCTTTTAACAAATCAAATATATCCTGAACATTGTTATTTTTTTATCAAATAGGACATTTGCTAAACATTAAAAAAGGATAGTTACTTTTACATAAGTTGTGACTACCCATTTTAGTCTTCCCCATCACTCCAAATGAATGTAACTTTGTCATTTAACAAGTTTTCATCATTTCTGAAATTGCTTATTGAAATTAATTTAGAATATTTTTATAATATTTGCCTCTGAAGTTAGTGATAATATTTACATACTCATCTGGTACAAACTTTTCATTTTCCCTTATGAAATAATTTTTTCACCCTAGGTGTTTGGAGTAGATGACAATCAGGATTATAATAGGCCTATTATCAATGAAAAACATAAAGATCTAATAAAAGATTGGGCTCTTAATTCTGCTGCAGTAGTAATGGAAGAAAGAAAACCACTGACTACATCTGGATTTTACAACTCAGAGGTATACATCTCTTCCATATACTTAACTTTTTACATGCATAGAGTGTAAATTTTTGTCATTTGTACATTACATTATTTTAAGTAATTGATATTATCTCCTTGTAAAATACTTCTGAAAACTAAAATTTCACAATTTTTTTGTTTCTAATAAAAACCTAATGCAATTTTGCAGTAATTCAGTTTTAGTTTTTGTTTTTTTTAAAGTTAATATTCTTTTGTAAGTGAGGAAAATATTACATTTCAGTAAGCAGTTAATGAGCTATATGCTCTGCTCATGGTTCTGACTGGCATTATGAGATAAAACAAGAAACCTACACCACTTATAATTTATAGGAAGTATTTTTGAAATTGGAAGACCTTGATATCATGCCAAGAAACATTATGCAAGGTACTACCTGATAGATACAACTTATATACCTCAATAAGTGCCAGTGCAGTGTAGCCCAGAATATACTTTAAAAAAATTTTTTTTGTTTCAGCATATTATGGGGGTACAAATGTTTAGGTTAGATGTAATTAGAATAATGTGAAATTAATTAAGGTTAGCTTGGTTAAGATAGTTAGCGAATCAATATAGGATAGTAGAGCTGCTGGAAAGGCCTGAGTACAAATCCCAGAGCTGCCATTTGTAGCTGACTGCCTTTGAGTCAGTCACTTCTCTTATCCTCAGTTTTCTCATCTACACAAATGGTGTTTTTGGTAAAGCCCATTACAGAGAATTCTAATGAAGTCTATAAAGCACCCAGCATAGTACTTGCCTGAGATTTATGCACTTAACAAATGTTTTTTCCCTTATCTGAAATATTAGAATTTTCATTGCACATTTATATAATGTAAAAACGTATATAATTCAGAAGTATTAATTATTATTTATTCTGATAATAAGAGATGACATTCAATAGAAGCTTTCTGTGTGCAATTTTACAAATAAGGAAACTGAAATACATAGAAATTAACTTGACCAAGGTCTTATGACTAGTAGTTTGTGGAGCCAGAATTTGAACCTTTAGCACCCTTGATTTCTTAATTCATTCTTTGACTTACGCTATATTACCTCTCAGGAAATTTCTAATATACAAATTATCAATAAGTATAAAATATTAATAAAAGAAAATCTTAAGGTATAAGTAAAAGAAAGTATAAATAGAATGTTGCATTCGTGTGAAATATAAATATTTTTATATACAGGTAAATAGTTCTATATGTTTGTTTATAATATTAAAATTCTCTCTTCATGGTCTGCTATTTCCTGAATACTGTCAAAGCAAATACTGTATGTTAGTGTTCTTCATTCTCCCTTGATTTGGAAAATTTTTATTCTGGTTTCTGTTTTATGAGATGATAATTTACTTACTGAAAGCAGGTAAAAGCTACTTGAGGCAGTATTTTGATATTCTGATTAATCCAGGAGGATTGTGTTGAATGTGAATTTAAATAGATTCCCTCCTCTCTTCTCTATTCCCGCAACCCATGCCAGGTAAAATTTATAGAGCCCCAGTATGTCCCTGCCTTTGTAGGAGTTACCTAATGGGCCATTAAAATGCTTTTCACAGAATGGTTTTACATAAGTGTATGTCAGTGAAACAAACCCATGTATTGTGGATATTAGCATGGTCCAGATGGCTCTGGTACCACCTTTAGTACTCAGAAATGCAGGCAGGATGGGGGCAGGTGAGATCAAACTCTCACTCTTTGCCGATGATGCGATATTATATCTAGAAAACCCCAAGGATTCAACCAAGAGACTCCTAGAATTGATAAATGAATTCAGTAAAGTCTCAGGATACAAAATCAATATACACAAATCAGAGGCATTCATATACACCAATAACAGTCAAGCCAAAATTCAAATAAAAAATGGAATACCTTTTACAATAGCGTCAAAGAAAATTAAATATCTAGGAATATATTTAACGAAAGATGTGAGAGACATATACGGGAAGAACTATGAAACACTAAGAAAAGAAATTGTAGAAGATGGAAACAGATGGAAAAATCTACCTTGCTCATGGATTGGTAGAATTAAATATTGTTAAAATTTCCATACTACCTAAAGTGATATACAGAATTAATGCAATCCTTATCAAAATACCATCATCATTCTTGAAAGATGTGAGAGACATATACGGGAAGAACTATGAAACACTAAGAAAAGAAATTGTAGAAGATGGAAAACAGATGGAAAAATCTACCTTGCTCATGGATTGGTAGAATTAAATATTGTTAAAATTTCCATACTACCTAAAGTGATATACAGAATTAATGCAATCCTTATCAAAATACCATCATCATTCTTCACAGATCTAGAAAATATAATTCTGTGCTTTGTATGGAACCAGAGAAGACCTCGTATAGCCAAAGCAATCTTAAGTAAAAAGAACAAACTGGGAGGTATTAGTCTACCAGACTTCAAGCAGTACTACAAGTATATAGTAATTAAAACAGCATGGTACAGGCACAAGAACAGAGACATAGACCTTTGGAACAGGACGGAAAATCCAGGGATGAAACCATCCACATATGGTAATCTAATCTTTGACAAAACAGACAAAATATACACTGGGGAAAAGAATCTCTTTTCAATAAATGGTCCTGGGAAAACTGGATAGCTACATGCAGAAGATTGAAACTGGATCCTCACCTCTCACCTCTCACAAAAATCAATTCAAGATGGATAACAGACTTAAACATAAGACATGAAACCTTAAGAATTCTAGAAGAAGATGTTGGGAAGACCCTTTCAGACATTGGCCTAGGCAAAGAATTTTTGAAGAAGACCTCCAAAGCAATCATAGCAGCAACAAAAATAAATAAATGGGATCTGATCAAATTAAAAAGCTTTTGAACAGCCAAGGAAACTATCACTAGAGCGAATAGAGAGCCTACAGAATAGGAGAAAATATTTGCTTTCTACACATCCGATAAAGGGCTGATAACAAGAATCTATCTAGAACTTAAAAAAATCAACAAGAAAAAATCAAACAACCCCATCAATAAATGGGCAAAGGAAATGAACAGAAACTTTTCTAAAGAAGACAGAATAATGGACAGCAAACATAAAAAAATGCTGAACATTTCTAATCATTAGAGAAATGCAAATCAAAACCACAATGAGATGTCACCTAACCCCAGTGAGATTGGCCTCTATCAAAAGATCCCAAAACAACAAATGCTGGTGAGGATGTGGAGAGACAGGAACACTGTTGCACTGCTGGTGGGACTGCAAATTAGTGCAACCTCCGTGGAAAAGAATTTGGAGATACTACAAAGAGCTAAAAATAGAAATGCCATTTGATTCAGCAATAGTACTATTAGGCATCTACCCAAAAGAGCAAAAGACATTCTGTAATAAAGACATCTGCACCCGAATGTTTATGGCAGCACAATTCACTATTGCAAGGACGTGGAAACAACCCAAGTGCCCGTCAATTCATGAGTGGATTATTAAAATTTGGTATATGTATACAATGGAGTATTACTCAATTATAAGAAATGACAGTGATCTAGAACCTCTTATATTTTCCTGGATAGAGCTTGAGCCCATTATTCGAAGTGAGGTATCACAAGATCTGAAGAATAGGCTCCACATGTACTCACCATCAGATTGGCACTGACTGATCCACACTATGGTGCTCACACGGTAGATATATTCTCCAGGGATTGGAGGGTTGGAGGAGTGGTAAACTCACCACTGATGGATGCAGTGAGCATTGTAGAAGGGAAGGGCATGCCTCTCACCCTCTCTTGGGTGAGACAAAGACATAAAATGTAACCAAAATGTTTGTACCCTCATAATATCCTGAAATAAAAAAAAAAGAAAAGAAAAATATGTAGGCAGGTACCACAAAACCTTGGAAGGGAATTCTAGGATTCACTGGGCTTTGGTATGCTTAGGCTTCACTCTATATATGTCATTCTTTATATTTACTATTTTAACCTACTGTTTTTGAAATCATAGAGTGTATAATCTGCATGAAATCTTTACATCATCAGTATATATATATTTTTGTTTGTTTGTTTGTTTTGTTTTGTTTTGTTTTAGGACAGGGTCTTTCTCTGTCACCCAGGCTGGAATGCAGTGGCACGATCATAGCTCACTGCAACCTCAAACTCCTGGGCTCAAGTAATTCTCCTGCATCAACCTCCCTAGTAGCTGGGACTACAGGCACATGCCACCATGCCCAGCTAATTATTTTATTTTTTGTAGAGATGAGTTCTCACTCTGTTGCCCAGGCTGGTCTTGAACTCCTGGGCTCAAACAATCCTCCTGCCTTGGCCTCATGAAGTCCTGGGATTACAGGCACAAACCACCACATCTGGCCACTTCATCAGTATTTATCCTGTCATCATTAATACAGTAAATCTAAGACTTTTAATTAAATATTTGTTTTGAGTAGTGCAAATAGCTTTCCATTTCCTAGTTATTACAGTTTCAGTATGAAGCCCTGGCTTGGATTTTTAGTAAGAGGTGCTATTTTTAGTGACATAATTTTTTTCAGAGTAAATCTTCATTTCTAGAGAATTTTGATGTTATATGTGAGAAGATTTAATAAGTGAATATATATCAAGGTGAGATTTAATTATGCTTTTGTATGACAGGTTAATGTGACTAAATGAAATTTTCTTTCATGGAAATCAGATTTGGACAGACTACATTATTTCATTCTCTTATTTTTCTCCTTTAGGAAGGCACATCTTCATCTGGAAACAAACGTTGGGTTTCACAGTGGGCTAGTTTGGCTGCTAATCATACAAGGCATGATCAAGAAGAAAGGATAATGGAATTGTCTACACCTGTTCCTTTAGAGAATGGTATTTTCTTTCTTTCTTCCTCTCTTCGTCTCTTTCTCTTTTTGTGAATCATATATCAGTTGCTAAAAACAAGCTAAATCTATATAGTGAGAAGTAAATTAAACCTAAATAAACATATTCAAATATTCTCATGCTCACACTACATAAGTGATTTTTTTAATAGGTAAAAAGCTGATATTTATTAGACATTTTGTATTTTAAGGGATTTTAAGCAGCAGAAAAATTTCAAGTGATAAAACTTTTTCTTTTTTGAAAAATGTGTACTTCATAAGTTGAAAGTACAGGACAGATGGAGGATTTAGTAGTTGATTCTGAGGCACTTTTCCTTTTAGTTGCAAATTTATGCTATTCATTTCAAGTCTGGTTTTAAAACCTTATGTTTTTACTTTTAAATCAAAATTCTTCCTATTCTTTTTGATATACTGATATCTTAGGATAAAATTTTATTTTGACTAATAATGCAGATATCATTAAAGTATAATCCTAACTGAAGATAAGGAGATAATTTGTAGATGATGCATTTATATGTGTGTATGAATTTATATATATTACATAATGAAAATTTAAAGATAAGACTAAGACAGGTCCATTCATAAATACAACAAATATTTTTTGAGTCTACTTTATGCCATACGTTCAGTGAAAGAGAAGTTACTTAATGCATCTCACACATCTATGTAGTGTGATTTTTATTACCTTTTAATTATATTTCTGTGAGGAGAAATACAAAGTTTCTTTAAAAAAATGAAATTGTATACTTCTAATGATTTTCATTATTAGATTCAGTTAATTATATTCTTAATTAAAAATAAGATGCTCAAGGGTGAGGGAGGAGGAGGTGATGGTCAAAAGGCACAGAATCTGAGACAAAAGAAATATGGCAGATTTTTTTGAGATTTATTGCACAGCATGGTGAATATGGTGTTAGAGTATTGTACATTTCAAAACTGCTAAGAGAGTAAGCTTCAAATGTTCTCATCACAAAAAATATTAAGTATTTGAGGCGATGGATATGTTAAGTAGCTTGATTTAATTATTCCACACTATTTTCATAGGTTATAACATTGATTTGTACCCCATAAATATATGATTATGAATTGCCAATTTACAATAAAAATTAAAACTTATCCAAGATGAAAAATAAAGACTTGTTCATAGGAAAAAAAAAAAAAAAAAGAAAAAGACCCACAGGGAGAATTTGTATGTGGTTTTTATCTGTATTCTTAATTTTATTCTTGTTAAAAATGGAAATTTGTTTCTGTTTGTGGCACCCCAAAATCTGTCTTAAGAATTTTGTGAAAATTAGCAAATATTTGAGGATGCTGCATAGCAGTGTACTAGAAAAGTTATTTATCATACAAGTAATTACTAGTATTCCCAAAAATCTATTGTAAATTATTAATATTAAGTTTTAGCTGTGAAATAATATTCTACCCTTATTATAAAAAATAATAGACCACTTAGCTTTCATGATCTCATTTCTGTTTTATAATATTCTAAATCAATTTATCTAGATAAGCTGACAAATCCACTTAAATCCTAAAGTGTTCTTGTTAAACATACATTGAGTGTGTGTTAGAAACAGGAGAGTGTAAGAAATACTAGAAAAATACAGAAAGATAAAACAGCCATTTCATTTACGGTAGGTAGTTCAGTTAGCACTAAGGAGATAAGACATATTCATGCAGGAATAAACAACATACGATATAACATGGTTAATTGCTAAATTAAAGTTTCATCAGTCAGTTTGATAAGTATTTCCCTGCATCATAACCATTGTATTGCTATGGTATTTAAATACTAAACTTTTAGGATTATAAAGGGGAAAAAAAGACCCACAGAAGCTATATGTAGTGTCCTTTTCCCCATTTATCCCTAAAAGGTTATAATACTTTCTATGTTAATTTGTATTTCCCTGAAAAGATGTTTCCCTTTTCTGAGAAATACATTCCATTTTTAACAGTCAGGAATATTCTCCTTAAGTAGTCTCAGATTCTCTCACTTGGAAAAATTAAAGTATGTATTTTCTCATTGGCTTCTACTTATTTGAAGAAACAAAAGGGATTGCGTATTTTCATACGTGGCCCTAATATATACCGGAAGACTATAATTTAAAAATCCTCCATTTATAAAATTATGACATGTCCTAAGTATGAAAAGTAAGACATTTCATATTTAGGATTTTTTAATCAGCTTTAGATTTTAAAAAAAAAGTAATTTTTAAAAAATATTTACTTAGGAAATCTAAAATTGTCATTCTTTCAAGCAGGTAATGCTGCTTATTAAAAACTAGGTATGTTATTTTTCCCTATTATGTAATTGAAAATATAGCAAATTAAATCATCTGTACAATCCTGTAATAAACTAGTTAGATTCTGTTTTCTTGAGCAGACCTTAAGGATGGAAAGTCACAAAAGCAAGAATGAACACAGTGGACTTCCCTGCTATAAAACACATTGAGAGAAAAAGAACAACAGATGTAGGTTAAGATCAAATGACCCTTGTACACTATGATGACTACAGTTAATAACAATGTATTACATATTTGAAAATTGCCAGGAGAGAAGATTTTAAATGTTTTAACCATAAAAATGATGATAAATATGTGAGATAATGGATATGCGAGCTTCATTTAGCCATTCGATGATGTATATGTATATCAAAACATCATGTTATATACCATAAATACAATTTTGACAATTAAAAATGAAAAAAAAACATATGAAAGAAAAAAAGATCAGATAACTCTAATTTTTATCTCATACAATTTACTTTCCTTACTCCTCTATTAATTGTCTATTTGTACAGCCTGAAATTGTACTTAAATTTTTAAACTACTAGTCACAATGCTGGCTCATTTATTTTTTATACTTAAGTCATTTCTTAACTCACACTTCAAAATATAATGTAATACAGTTGGTCCTCTGTATCCATGGGTTTTACATCGTAGAGTCAACCACAAATCAAAAATATTCAAGAGAAAAAGATGATTTTTTCCATACTGAACATATACAGACTTTATTTTCTAATCATTATTCTCTAAACAATACAGTATATCAACTATTTACATAGCATTTACATTGTATTAGGTAATTTTAAGTAATCTAGAGATGATTTAAAGTATACCAGAGGATGTGCATAGGTTATATGCAAATACTGTACCATTTATGTAAGTGACTTGAGCATCCGCAGACTTTAGTATCCATGGGGGCTCCTGGAACTAATCTCCACAAATACCAGGGAATGACTATCTAATATTCCTTTTATTTTTAATTTTTTGCCCTAATTAATTTCTTCTTCGTGGTTTTTATGTTGTAGATACAGATATCAGTGAATCTGGCATTTCAATGAGAGGTACTGGCTCTGCAACTTCTTTGGCTAGTCAGGGAGAAAGAAGGAGACGAACCCTTCCCCAACTTCCAAATGAAGAAAAGTCTCTTGAGAGCTCCAGAGTAAAGGTTATAACACCGAGATCAGAGATAGGAGAAAAACAAGACACAGAACTTCAGGAGAAAGAAACTCCTACACAGGTATACCAAAAAGATAAGCAAGATGCTGACAGAGCCCTGAATAAAATGAATAGGGCAGTAAATGGTGAGACTCTTAAAACTGGTGGAGATAATAAAACCTTACTTCACTTAGGCAGCTCTTCTCCTGGAAAGGAGAAAAATGAAACTGACAAGGAAGTTTCTTTGGTAAAGCAAACATTAGCAAAAATTCAGCACCAACAAGAACAAAAGGAGGAGGCACAGTGGACAGCTACTAAATTGTCTTCCAAAAGTGTTTCAGGTCAGATAGATAAATGTAGGGAGGAATCTTTTAAGCAAGAGTCACAACCTCAAGAAAAAATTTCAGGACATCCTTCTAGCAAAGGAGACAGGGTTATACAAAATGAGAGCAAGAGAAGAAAAGCTGAGGAAATTCTGAAAAGTCAAACTTTGAAGGGAGGAGACAAGAAGGAATCCTCCAAGTCCTTAGTACGACAAGGGAGCTTCACTATAGAAAAACCTAGCCCAAACATACCCATAGAACTTATTCCCCATATAAATAAACAGACATCATCTACTCCCCCTTCTTTAACATTAACGTCTGCAAGTAGAATAAGAGAAAGAAATGAGTCTTTGGATACTGATTCTAGTATGGACACAACCCTTATTCTAAAAGACACTGAGGCAGTAATGGCTTTTCTAGAAGCTAAACTGCGTGAAGATAATAAAACTGATGAAGGCCCAGATACTCCCAGTTACAATAGAGACAATTCTATTTCACCAGAATCTGATGTGGATACAGCTAGTACAATCAGTCTGGTTACTGGAGAGACTGAAAGAAAGTCGACCCAAAAGCGTAAGAGTTTCACTAGCCTCTATAAAGATAGGTGTTCCACAGGTTCTCCTTCCAAAGATGCTACAAAATCATCATCTTCAGGTACTAGGGAAAAAATTGAAAAGAAAACAAAAAGTCGTTCCACAGATGTAGGTTCAAGAGCAGATGGTCGTAAATTTGTACAGTCCAGTGGGAGAATGAGACAGCCTTCAGTAGACTTAACAGATGATGACCAAACCTCTAGTGTACCTCATTCTGCTATCTCTGATATTATGTCATCTGATCAGGAAACTTACTCTTGTAAATCTCATGGAAGGACTCCACTTACCTCCACTGATGAGCATGTACATTCCAAACTGGAAGGAAGTAAAGTAACAAAATCCAAGACTTCTGCTGTAGCATCTGGTTCATCCAGTAAATCAACCACTCTTCCAAGGCCACGACCTACCAGGACTTCCCTTTTGCGCAGGGCACGACTTGGTGAAGCTTCAGACAGTGAACTTGCTGATGCTGACAAAGCATCTGTTGCTTCTGAAGTATCCACAACAAGTTCTACATCAAAACCTCCCACAGGAAGGCGTAACATCTCTAGGATTGATTTATTGGCTCAGCCTCGTAGAACAAGACTGGGCTCACTGTCAGCTCGTAGTGACTCTGAAGCAACGATATCTAGAAGCAGTGCCTCTTCACGTACCGCAGAAGCCATCATTAGAAGTGGAGCCCGATTAGTACCATCAGATAAATTTTCTCCTAGAATTAGAGCTAACAGTATCTCTCGACTATCAGACTCCAAGGTCAAAAGTATGACCTCAACTCATGGCTCTCCTTCAGGTAAATTGGATCCAGATTTTTAGCAACATTAGCATGTTCTATGTTTTGGGGCTCCTTTCTTGAAAAATTAAACTTCTAGTTGTCATCTTCCCAAAATATTCAAGAGAAAGGTTA